CCCTGCCCCAAGGGCAGCGGCGGCGGCCCCGCCATGGCCTGGGTGCCCAGCCCGCCATGGCCTGGGTGCCCAGGCGAGCTCTGTGGTGTCCGCGCGGGCAGCTGGAGAGGGCGCTGCGAGCCGAGGCGGCCCAGCGCGAGGCACGGGGCAGCCCAACCCTGCGCGAGCTGAGACAGCGCTTCGAGGGCGACAAGAGGGCCTTCAAGCGCAAGCTCCACGCGTACCAGGAGGGCCAGCAGCGCCAGGCGCAGCTCGTCCAGCGCCTCCAGAGCAAGGTACGGACTCGTCCTGCACCACAGCCCATGTGGCACTGCAAATACAGCCTCGACGTTGGCGCGGGGTGGTGGACCCAGTGCCTGCTTTCTCCCTTACCTCTTTCTCCTCTCTTTCTCCTTTGCTGCCTGTCCCTTTTGGCCAAGGTTCTGCAGTACAAGAGGAGATGTGGAGAGCTGGAGCAGCAACTTCTAGAGAAAACCAGGGAACCGGAGCCTCCGGCAGAGGTCAGTGCAGATGGGCTGCCTCACTGTCGTGGGAAATCCTCTTCCAGGAATCAGGGTGGGAAGTCAATCACCTCATGGTCTCCCTTTCCTTCTCGCGCCAGCTGGAGTCCAGGGAGCCCAGGGTGCTTTCAGAGCAGGACCACGGCTCTGACCTGGAGAACACCCGCCTGCACCTGGAGGATGAGAAGCAGAGGTGAGCAGGCACAGGGCTCCTTGCAGCCTGGTAGGTGGTAGAGCTGCAGCAGGCGGGCAACGGGCTCTGCATCTCCTCGCCCAAGTGCTGGATCCCCACCCAGGTGGATCTGAGTCCAGTTCTAGACTGCCTGGTTCCTCTGTGCCACCCTCAGCCCTGTTTAGGGCTGTGTGTTGTCACACTCCTGGGGTCTGAACCCTCCCCTGCAACTGAAATGATTGTCCCAGGTGCGTCCGAGTGAGGGGAAGAGGGCAAATTCTGAAGCCCGCCAGGTTTCCCTGCTGGGGTACAGAGCATGGCCGCGCATGGAGCTCACAGAGACCCTGGCCACTGACGTGCTGCCTGTCGTGCCCTAGGAGCGCTGGCTTGTCACAGATGAACTCTCTGCTGCGGGAGCAGCTGGAACAGATAAAATCCTCCAACCAGCGCCTGGCAGCAGAGCTGGAGCAGGCCACGGTGGACGTCCATCGCCTGAGGGGCGAGCTGGAGCAGTGCCACCATAGAGAGGTGACGCTGCCCTGGCCCATTTGCTAACCCGGGCTGAAACAGCCCCTTTGCAAATGGCAGGGACCTTGCGGGTCCGGGAGGTGATGCCAAGACAGTTATGGGACGAGGGGATGGACAGTGTCCAGGGCACAGACTGGTGCAGAGTGGGAGCCATCGCAACCCTTTGTGTGGTGCTAACTCCTGCTCCAATTTGTCCCTCGGGGCCTGCTCCCACCTCTGGCAGAGCTCTGGCCCCTCCTGGAGGAGCAAGCATGGCGAGACCCTCCTGCTGTGGCACCAGGCAGCCACGCTACGCGGGCACTTCATGGACCTCCGGGCCGTCACGGAGAGGTGGGTGCCGCAAAATACCCCTCCAGGGAGACACCTGGGGGTCCTGCCGAGGATGGCCTTGACACACGGAGCCTGGGGAAGGCGGGAGGCCAGGCCTGTGGGTGTCATGTGGGACAGACAGGCTCCAAGTCCAGCAGGGGAGCACGTGTCCTACGTGACCCAAAGAGGGACCTCGCTGTCCCAGAAACCCAAGGGGATGTTCTCTCTCGTCACCAGAGGCCTGGCGGAGGCAAAGATAGACATGGCCAAGCTGGCACGGCGCCTCCACACAGCCTGCCTTAACCTGGACTCCAACCTCCGCCTGTCCCAGAGCCACACCACCTGCTCCCTGGAGAAGGAGAGCCTGCATGGAGCACAATTGGAGCAGCAGCTCCGCGACAAGGTGCGGGAGATGATAGAGCTCCAGAGCCACTGGGATGGAGAGAAAGTGGAGCTGAACTCCAGGTAAATGAGCCCCGGCTGGGCTGTCTCTCCAGGCGGGTTGTTTGAAGGCTACGAGGGCAGAGCTCAAGGCTCAAAGTTCTGGCTTGCTGCCATCCAACGTGTGGGCAGTTGGGTGGATGGAATGGACAGCACATTGCTCCGTGGGCCAAGGTCTCCGACACAGGAGGTTGTGTGAGTCCTGCCTGCATGTGGCATCCATGGGGCCCCCTCTGTTCCAGGATAGCGGAGCTGAGCCTGCGAGCCGAGCGGCTCCAGGAGCAAAACATGGAGAAGGAGGAGTCCATTGCCCACCTCAAGCTGGACATTGAGAAGCTGGTGCGCCCCATGGGCCTGCTCCACGCGCGCCCACTCCCCCTGCCCATGCCATGGCCATCAAGGGCCTCTTTACCTGTCGGCACAGAAAGCTGCCACTGCGAGGGAGGCAACAGAAGGCAAGGAGGAAGCGGGACCCCTCTCCCGGGACGGCAGGGACGCATCGGCAGAGGTGGGAGGCAGCCGGGGGCTCTCGCTGCCGCGCGCCAGCTCCCCGCAGCGCCCGCACGTCCCCCCCCTGCGGGCGGCCACA